TCACTGCGCGGCAACGATACCTAACTGCAAGCTAAGAGCACGTACTCAAATTTCGTCAGTCATGCCAACTACCAAACAAGTCTCATCCGCCAGAGCCACCTTTGAGTAGGCGTTGTAGGGTGGTTTGCTCGGGTGATTAGTGGCTTTTTGTTCCTTTATGGGATCCGATCTTACATAAGGATAGTTTATCAAATACCTGTAACGTCAATCGTCTTATGTGCTACTACTGTCAAAACACGTCTGGTGCTATTATATTGCAATATAACGTGCAATTTCTCCTCTCTTGTTTGTTATTTTTATGCATTTACGTATTAGCTCCTCCGGTTAATTTCTCGTGGGACGTTTGATATAGTACTCGATAAAGGTCGTGAATTTTGTGAAAAGTTATGTCGGGTATTGGCGGCCAAGTCAAGGGGGATAGTACTCTTTACTTTGTTAGACGCACAACTACCTTCATGAAAGAAAGATAACTGCATTGGTAGGCAGGAGTAGAAAACTACCTCGTTAATAAAATAAAGCAGGGCAGTTATCGTGGCTAGGTGTGGCCCCGTATGGACGTAACGGTACTTCAACCGAAACTAGACACATTCAACACTAACAGTTTCCTTTGGCCTATTTGACAACCTACTATACACCAGATCTCTCGCGCAACTACCAAAACCAAATACCGTGCCGGACTGAACTACCAACGCTATAAGGGATTAGGCAGCCTTAACGTTTCAACTAAAAGGGACAACGATTTTAGCTTCACAACGGTTTAAAATAAAGGCCTGATTGCCCAATGAAGGACAATCAGGGCCCCTACAATAACGTAGGGCGTGATACAAGTGTTGTTCAAACTATGGGAGGTGCTAAATCGGATATAGAGAAACTAGTTAGGTGGCAGAAGGTAACAGAGTTTTGTAAGGCAGACAGTCGGTAAAAAGTCTAAGAAACCTTTATCCAAAGGAATGACTCAATCCTCAGGAGAGCTCCTGAAAATTTCGAGAGGTTCTGAATCCACGATGAAAATCCGGATTTTATTGAAACACTTAACGAGATCACTTATTTAATCCTCAGGATTTAAAATTCTGACTGTGCGGAGTAATACGAGATCCTCAAAGGTTTAAGCGGTCAATCCCCGTAGAAAATTCGGGATTTTAGGAAACAGCTTATGCCGGGGTCCTCACTCTCACGTGGACGACCCGCATTGAGATTGCAGGCTGCATCGCTTGGCTTCCAATTCTGGTTTGATTTCCAATACTGAACATGGGTGAATCGTGAATTAAACATTGCCTTCTATTTTGAAATGGCCTGTACCCAAATCCTGGCCACCTGTGTAAAAAAAAATGCCTTTGGAGACTGGCGTGCCAGGGGTAGCAAGGAACACTTCTCCGCCACTCCCCCCACAAAAGTAGACGACACGCTGATGGCCTTCTCTATATGTTGCCGTCCTCTTGTGCCGGCAGGTGGCGCCTCTTTATTTGTCTGTCACCGTTTGGTACGGTGGCCCCAGCAAGAAGCGACGATAACCACATAGCCCTTCCGTCGTCGCGGTGACATTGTCCGGACCGGTATACATGATGTTCGCAAAGTCGGTCGTAAAGGTCGCCAGATCACCACTTGCTATCCTTAGTATGAGTAGGTCTCAGCGGCTTTGTGAATAACTTTTAAGAAAAAACTCCTACGTAAAATGTTTTAGCGCGAGTTAGGAGCACTCCTAGCGGTAAGATAAAATGCTTTGTGAATACGGCCCCAGGAGTCTATCTTATCAGGTGGATAGCTCCCTGGAGCCGATCATTCTATGCTAGGGGCGAAGCTGGCTTTGACTGGTTATCGAATGCTGATTATTATCTTAGGAATAGTTAAATATTGAGGAGAGCATGAGGAATTCCGAGTTAGTTGGGCAGAGGATGTGTCATTATATGTATATTTGTAAATATATCAATTCTCTGGCCGTAGCTTCCAATAAATCTCCAGTGTCTGACATCAACTCAAAGCTCTTCTTTGTGCTCCTTGTGTTCTTTGCTCCAATCATTTCATCACATATTGGATGTATCCAATGTTTACCATAGAATCTGCACAGAAGCTTTTTTATAAGCTTGGCTACCGTAAAAAAGGAAAATATTAAAAAGGAGTTCCTAAGTAAATGTTGTGTTGCAGGCTGTAAGATTTAGAAACATGTTATAAATATTTGATCCAGATGTGGTGTTAGATTCTTGTTTGATCAATCAAAATCCACACTGAACAACAACAGTGTCTGCGGACAACAGTTAGCCTATTTCCTTCCTCAACATAACTTTTTCTTAAATGGTTCCCAATTGTACATTTAAATACTCCCCCCTCCAGATCTGCCCTTCAGTTACACACCTCCTGCTTGATGGAAATCTGCGACAGAGGAATGGACAGCCGGCGCAGTCTTACGCTGGGACATGCATATTCTTTCCTGGTTAAGGTCTCACAGGCCAGGGGAGCACACCAGTCATCAGGTACTGCACAAAAACATGTATAAGACAAATATGGTTAGAATATGCCGTGCAATATTGTGATTATTAAGTACATGCAAAAGATAAAAGGCTTTTCCTTCCCTCACATAAACTTGCAACCTATACTCGGTACTGTACTTAAAGTTTAATGCAGTGTTTCCCCTATATACAAATAGCAGCGGCACCTTTACTGTATGTTCAATAAAAGGTGTATTTTGCTAAGTCTTGAGACATTGCCACTGTATGTACTAGGCCTCAAGAGCCTTTCATGTGCTGGCAGACACATAGAAACATATTGGCGGGGCGCACTTCGCACGCACTAAAAAAAAACACGCGCTCCACGCTCACATTTTGCTGGGCCCACGTGCCTTAGCAGCGCTGCTATGACTCCATCCTAAGGGAAACACTGTAATGCCTTTCACTCTGCAATAGTTACCTTCCAAAAATATATTGAATCAAAAAATGTCTCTTTTACAGTAGAAAGCAGCCTATTTTGCCAAGTTATTCACCTCATTTGAACACATTACCTTCAAAGTGAATCTCAGGAACATCATCTGTTGGTTTAGGGGCGTTCACAACATCTTCAGTTCGTCCTTTCTTCACCTCTGTTCCTCTGCTGCCGACACACTCAATTTCAGTCAACCTGATCTCTGCTCTCTGCAACTTCATTTTAAGTTGAGCAACTTCCTCTCCTTTATGCCCCAGCTCCATCTGATACCCATGCAGACTGTTCTCAAAGATCAACATTATTTCAAAAACAGCTCTCCTCAGGGTGGAGTCCATGCTCGTGGTCAGCTGGGCCCTGAACCCTCTTATCAGGTCAGACATCTTTGAAGAAAGCTGGAAACAGGCTACAGATGTCCTAGATCCTTGAGTGATTCTGTACTGCTCCTTTTACACTCCCCCTAAAACCGATATATAAGAGATAAGGTTACAATTTAAAAATGTTATGAAATTGAACAACCCATACATTTGTGTTTACATGTTAGCACATGGCAGAAATGTTCCTTTGGTTTGAATGTATACAAATCTGCTACTAAAAAGGGTACAGTAAAACACAACCAAACAGGACACATTACATTTATATAAAAACAATATACATTTGGTCAGTTTAGCATTGTGTATATTTGCGGGCTCTGGGCTCTAAAACCCAGGGGAAGAAATTCTTCCTTTCACAGCAGCACAACTGCCTCATAGCTTTGAAGCATGAAGTACACGGGCATAGGTGACTTTCATTGAAATGTATCATAAATCTCCTTTAATTATATATATGTCATTATTATAACTTTGATTTTCTACTAAATGTTCTGAAGCTTTCAACAAACTGGGTGTCATATTGACCACTGTCAAGAAAATTATCATACGGATGTTACCTGTTATAATTAACATGTTTCTACTTAACTCCCGTCTAGCCACCGATCTTCAATAGCCTGTAATGTAGAATTCGATTGATTAAGACCTTCCCTTTCTTATTTATTTTCCTGTACAAAGTGATTGCTTTTATGTTGTAACCTTGTCAGAACTTGTACTACATTGCTGGTGCAAGACTGTCCTTTCAGATTGATTCTGTTAAATGATTTAACTGTTTATAAATAACACAACGTTGGTTTAAACTTGTAGATTTGTCCATTTTTTACCAGATGGTGATTAAGTGTGGAATGTCCACCAAATGAAAGTGTTTTAATCATATGATGGGGAAATGTTTCCACCGAAACACATAACGGTACTGTAACGGTTTGGATACAAACAAACCTGGAACAAACCCATGCTAGCATTGAGAGGACCGTCAGGAAATAACGTCATGTGTTGTCGTTAAGACGCCTCAATCTAGGTTTATGCAAAACGAAAAAATACTTTCGCAAGTGGTTTAAGAAGAAAACTTGGATGATATAACACATATTAGAATAACAAGCACGTTATCTTTTTTTGAACCACATTGCAGCCAGTAGGCTACGCCATGTTCTTGAATTACTAACTACACAGTTATTCCTTTCGACAAAAGATAGGTTTCTGAAATCCACACATGTCTTTTGAATGAACACAACTAGGCGTTGTAACAAAAAGGAAAGCCAAAATTGGTTACAAGCAAGTTAGACGTGTATATCAAATCCTCATGGCGGACAAATGAGATACTCACGGTTCGGGAAGAGGGGAGCTCCTGCCGCCTTTATGCGGTGATTTACCGGGTCCGAACCTCCGAAAACCTCACGACAGCAACAGTGAACACCGCCTCATCCACTGACAGCTAAATGCGTAATGTAGTTGTTTCTTGATAGTGAGTAGACGTGTACTACTAACCAGTGTATGTTACCAACCACACGGGGAGATAACCATACGCCATTTTCACTCCCAGGCGGGAAGGAAAGGTGACGTCGGAACTACGTCACTAAAAGAAAAGAAAAAACATGTTTGGAGTTGGACATAGACTGTATAAATGTTTGGACCCGATATGTGTTGTAACTAGTGATGATACGTATTGCGCCGAGGCTTCGGAGCGTGTGTCGAGTAATCCCCGAAGCTTTTTGTGAAGCTTATATATATCGAGGCTTGTATCGTTTTGGGCCAGCGACGGTGTTGCAGTCTTCTTCTTCTTCTTCTTCTTCTTCTTCGTCTTCTTCTTCTTCTTCTTCTTCTCTCGTTTTTTGGCGGATTGCAAACAACTTAAAAGGAGCATGAGTATGAATCATCATATCATTCCAACTCTTTAACCTATGATCTAATAAAAATAAATAAATCAACAAAAAACATGAAATAAATAAAATAAAAATCTATGATCTTTCCTGACCTAATGTTACATTCTTTTTCCTACCCCAGTTTCACTCAAGAAGGTAAACAGTGCCTTTCTGGTAGCTCTTACTCCATCTCCTTTTGTTCCCAAAACACCAACCACACTCCATTCCTTCTCTGCCTCTAAAACTTTAGCCTTTAGTTTTTCTATTTCCGCTTTATAGATGTCACAATGTAACAATATATGTTCTACACCTTTTACTCCACAGTTCCCACACTTGTCGCTGTCACTTTTCCCCATGATATACAGTGTACCATTCAAAGCCGTGTGATTTATTCTGAGTCTAGATATCGTGATTTCCTCCCTTCTGTTTCTTTCTTTATGAATATTAATTGTAATTGTCTTTTGTACTTTGTGATAGTCTTTGCTTTTCTGGTCTTTCTCCCACCTTTTCTGCCAGATCTCCATCCCTTTCTTCTTAATGACTGCTTTTCCTTCTCCTTTACCAAGTTGAACTGGTAATGTTATTTCTTTTTGTAGTGCACTTTTTGCTAATTTATCAGCACACTCGTTCCCTTTCACCCCCTCATGCGCAGGCACCCAGCAGAACTGCAGATCTATCAGGCGTAACAGGCTTCATTTCTTTTTGAAATCGATATTTTAAAGTCTGGGATGTATATACCAACTCCAACACAGAAATGAAGCCTGTTACGCCTGATAGATCTGCAGTTCTGCTGGGTGCCTNGAGAGAGAGAGAGAGAGAGAGAGAAGTCATAACAAGTGGTACAGGACAGGTAGACGACGTGTTTTTCGGATAGAAAATGAGCCAAACGCGAAAACGCAGCACATTGAGCACTTCAACCAAAACTCAGGCGGTGATAAAGCGCACCATTTGTAAAGGCAAAATATCCTTTAAAGCAGGGTCAACTAATAATCTCCATCGCCACTTAAAAACACAGTATCTAATATTAAGAGTTGCATGAATTTCATTCAAGGCAAGGCAACTTTATTTACTTAACACGTACAGAGGGTAAATTCAAAGTACATTCACTGACATGAATGACATGGATATGGCGCCACCTTGTGTCATGTTTACAATGCAGATTATTGACATTAGGTCTAGCAATACAGTCAATCATTATCCTGGTGATTATTTAGCAGATAAACCTAGTAACTCTCTAAAACCCTTTAAAAAAACGGCTCTTTTGAAAGGCTCTTTGAAAGGAACGGAGCCATAAGATCTGGCTCCCTTCAAAGAGCCATAATTCCCATCACTATGCGTCAGTCCTCAAAAACAACTTGTAATGACTTCCCATGGAGGCCAACAACACATTCTGCATGCTTTGAATATGCAAATACAGAAGATAAGTGAAGAGGGAATATGTGCCTTACTGTTCATGTGGGTGTTTTAAGCAAACAGCTTTTCACCTCTACTTTCTACCTAAAAGCTGTTGAACTTGCGAGGCGGAGAGCGGCTCATCGGGAAGCTAAATATCAAATCAATATCCTTCCCGTCATCAAGTGCATCTCAGCGGGGATTTGATGGCCGACAAACACAAGCACAACTCTCTCATCTCTCTTTTTCAGTTATTTTCCATTTGATATGAAGCTGCAGAGATGCTGTGCCACTTCTTCCTCCTCCTCCTCCTCCTCTTCTGAGAAAGCCTGTCTCCCTCACCTCCTCTTTGATGTTGGCCGGCTCCTCCCTCTCACCGCTGAGGCTGCCCTCCCCTTCCTCGTCCTCCATCATCCCTCCCTCATCCTCTTCATCCCCGGGGTACTGGATGAGGTACATCTCCCTGGCCTCCTTTCCCCCTCTTCCTCCTGCTACCATCCCCACAGCTCCTCCTCCTCCTCCTCCTTCCTCCCACACAACTCCAGGCCAGCGTTTGCCATAGGCTGCTGCCGGGCCCTTCTTTGACTTGCCTCCTGTGGAGAAGAGAGGAAGACAAGGGAAGGGTGGGAGGGAGGTGAGAGAGGAAGGAGAAAGAGTGCAGGTGGGCAGGAGAGAGGGAGGGTGAATAATGAGGGGGAGATAGATAAGTGGGAGGAGATGATTGGAAAGGCCAGGAGAGCCAGAGATAGAGGAGAGAAGAGGGTGGAGAAGTGGGAGATGAGGAGGAGGGTGAGGAGGAAGAGGGGAACAGGAGTAGAGAAGAGGTTGGGGGGAGGGAGAAAGTAAAAGGAGCAGGGGGAGGAGTAGTGAGCGTGATGAACGAGTGAGGAGAGAGTGGGCGTAGAAGGACAGACGAGAGAGAGGATAGAAGAGGAAACCATGTGAAGGGGAGGAGAAAGCGAGCGAGGAAGAGAGAAGGAGAAGTGGAGTTGGTGGGGGCCATAGGGGAAAGGGGGAGGAAGACAAGGGGGAGGACAAGTTGAAGGAGAGACAGAGGAGGGGTGAGGATGAAAAGATGAAAGAGTGAGACAGCGAGAGGGGAGGTGGAGCAGGAGTGTGTCATTATGGTGGTGATGTGAGGAGTAGAGTGGAGGTGGCGGGGGAGGAAAGAAGGGGGTGTGTGTGTGTGTGTGTGTGTGTGTGTTGTGTGTATGTGTGTGTGTACGCGTGTGTGCGCAACGTGACGAAGGAGAAAAAACAGCAGGAGGAGGTGGGGGAAGGGAGAGAGGAAGGAGGCGTGAAGTAAAGAGGAGCAGGAAGGGGAGGAGGAGTTGGAGAGAGACAGAGGAGGTGGGGGGAGGGAGAGGAGCAGGGCAGGAAGGGAGGGAGGGAGAATGTGTGCAAATTCACATAGGAGTGGGAGGGACAGAATGCAGCGGAGAGGGGGAGGTGAAGGACAGAGGGAGAGAGTATGAAGAGGAGGCGGAGGAGGAAGGAGGGAGGGAGAGATCAGCTCCTGCCAGATGGTTTCCAACAAAACAAGTGCGTCTCCACATAAGCCCTGACTGCACAACAAGAACCTGTTTCTCACCACACAGAAACAATCATACTCAATATTGATGTTTGAGCAAAGTGTCATTTAAATGTCATCAGAATCAGGTTTACACATACAAGGAACCTGCCTTGGTGTATGTGCATACATAAACAGTTAAAGAAGATACATTGGAAGAAAAACGAACAAGACGAGAAATATTTACATTAAATATATATACACTAATTGACTGGGTAAGGTAATAGGACAAAAATAATAACATTAAATGAAATATGTGCAGTATTGTTACCAAAAGTGAAAAGCTGTGCAGATATGAAGTCGCTTTGTATGTGCAACATATTCAGAGGGTTGTGCAAGACTGACAGTAGGCTACTTGAAATAAATACAAACTAAATATATGACAAACTAAAAAGGTGGTGTAAACCTGCTAGTTTTGGAAGGTAAACCTAAATCCTAAAGCAATACTTACGGGCCTCCGCAACTTTTCGTTTCTGCCGCCCTCCAGCCCGCTCCTCCGCCGCCGACAGCCCGGCGCTGCGGCGCTGCGCGGCCCAGCCCATGCCGTACTTGCGCTCGGCTCTCAGCTTGTGGTCGGTGAGCCTCAGCCGCTGTTTGAGAGCCTCGTTCTCCTTCCTGTTGAGGGACAGCTCCATCAGGTAGTCGTTCACCATATCCTGGAAGAGTTTGGAGATCTCGCACACCGAGGCACGGATCAGACTGTCCATGACAGACGTCAGATGCGTCTCAAATGTGGACACCGATTCTTCCATCATCGTGGCCACAGGTTCAGACCTGGTTCAATAACAGTGTGTTACCATCACGAAAGTTACACAGTCTAATGTCATACATAGCTTAAGAGACACTGCATGTATCCATGTTATGCCTATCGCCAATGTCATGTACAAATATTAACTTTATTAGTTAGTGAGCAGCTGCACAATACATAATATCGACGTAATTTGTGACAGTGATTGCACACATGGTTATTCCACCTCTGTTATCGTTTACTTAAACTAAAGTAATGCCTAATTTAAGCTGTGTAATACCACATACAAGTTAGCTTGTTATTAAACGTGCATTGTTATTGACACACAGTAATGTAAAAGTGGTAGAGGAGGAGCAGCGTCTCCGTCAGGAAAGTGATCGCGTTAGCAGCCTGGCTAATTTAGCTCTGTATACGTACCGTTTCTTGGATGAAATGAAGAATAACTTGGAGGTGAATCGGCGACAGACGGTTTGATTTCACGGATCGCAGATATGCCAGGTCGATGTTCATGAGCAGAGAGACGCGGTGACAAAGGAAAGCGCCATCTAACTTCTGCCCTCTCTCTCCGTGCCACTGTTTTCCCTCTCGCCTCCTTCTGCTCTACTTAATGATGCTGGAGAACACTGCGCATGCCCAGTACCGTAATTACCCTCCACTCAAGAATAGCCGCACCCTGGAAAAATCAACACATTCAGGATTTCATGCACCACTTTGTATTTATTGTGGTCTTGACAGCAGTGTTAAAGTGTTAAGTAAATTGGAAAATAATAGCAAAGAACTACTTAGCTTTCTCTTGGTTGGCGTTTTGGTTGGAGTGTGAACAGAACAGTGTCTTCCAGACTGGAAGGAGGCGCTGTGGTCTCTTTGTCTGCCAGCTCAACCACAGAAGAAGAACAGCTTTATATTTTTATTTTATTCTGTGCAGAGCAGAATCCGGAGTCGCATCAGCAGCAGCAGCCTGGGAAGGGAGAAAAATAGAAAAAAGGAGTAATCATGCCGATGTTCACAGTGAACACCAACGTGGCTAAAAGCGATGTACCGGCGGCTTTGCTCTCCGAAGCCAGCGAGCAGCTGGCCAAATATATGGGCAAACCTCCACAGGTAAAGTAGACCCTAATCCTGCACAATATCCTGATGCTCAACGAAACAGGGGCTATGTGCCTTTATTCTTTCCTATATGTATTACCTTGGTAAATGTAACTTCTCTGCTTTGTGCAATATGACCCAAAACAAGCAGCTAAAATAAGGGATATACTTCCTGCACAAGTAGGTTATGTAAACACAGTAGGCCTATTGACTGTTAGAATAGGTAGATGCATGATCAGTGGCGTCAGTTCACTAAACCCACAAGTTAAAAGCGAGTATCTATAATTTCAAGCAAATTGATGCTATATACTACATATATTTTTCTATTTTAAACGGTCAACAAATATTTAATACACAATCTTAAGATTTTTTTAACGGTTTTGTTTTGGTCACTTTTCAAAAACATTCTTCGGTATTGAGTTGCAGTGTAGTTATTTGGATTCACAACTCCAACATTTCCAAAATCCTTAATTTATATCTTTAGCTTAATATTGAATATATGCTGAAACTACAATAGAGTTTGACGTTCAAATAGGTTAAGAACCAGACACTCTGACAACAGTTGTGATTGATCCACATTCACCCAATGTAAGCTAACCTCAGTTGTGTGCCTCTTTCTTGCATATACCAGTACATTGCTGTGCATATCAACCCTGACCAAATGATGATGTTTGGAGGAAAGGGCGACCCCTGTGCACTCTGCTCCCTTCACAGTATTGGAAAGATCAGCGGTGCTCAGAACAAGCAATACTCTAAACTCCTGTGCGGACTGCTCAACAAACACCTGGAAATCTCTCCTGACAGGTAGGATACAAACAGCAACCAATACATATACTGCAATAATGTGAGAAGCAAAGTGAACATGGTGACAGAAACATATAAAGCTCAATGTTGTGCTTCCTTGTCTCCACCCTCCTCCGTCCTCCTGCCTGTGAGTCGGAATTAGAAGTATGTTCAGCAACTCTGATCGATAAAAGATCAATCGTTTTTGCGTACTTGCGTGACACATCTGTACAATTTGTAAATAAATGAGTGGTCATGAACACTGAGATCATTAAATACAGCGGTATAAACAATGAACAGTTGAATCGGATTTGCATCAGGTTCTATTTTATTCACGTTTGGTAAAAATTAAGTCTCCCGCGCATTGATGTCTCATTTTGTTAAAAGCCCGTTGCCTCGACCACTCTCTCTTTGTGTCTCTTTCTTGCCGGATCTGCTTGCATCTCAGGTGGGAGGAACTAAGACATGAAAGGCATAAAAGAAGGAAACAATAATGTACAAAGTCAAACTGAGAAATAAGAGGAGGGGACGGACAGACATAGAGAAATACTAGTGTAACGCGCATACCTTGCTTACTGTTAATGTCTTATCTTAATATCCGATTTCTCTTTGTGTCTATTTCAGGATTTACATTAACTTTACAGATATGGATGCAGCCAATGTGGCCTGGAACAACAATACCTTTGCCTGAAAAGGAGGTCAACACACTGAAATAAAAGATAATTCCAGTATTTTCCTGTATGTACGAGCAGAGTTACATTTGGCAACATGAAGAGTCAAAGACACAGGTGTTAATTTAGAGGTGACTATACTGTATGACTAATTTGAAGAGGACTTAGCTGGACCTTTTTGCTGATTCTTTTCCATTAATATGCAATAAAAAAAACCTGCAGAACCTAAATAATTCTGTGTTTTCCTTGAGTGTCTAGCCTGACAAAATCACCGTACATTTGACAAGATCCCTGTTTTTTTATTAGATTCAAACACCCATTGAAACTTACAGAACTGCAGATGAATGAAAATGCAGACCAAAACAATAGTAGGCACCTAAATGTGAAGCAGCTAAATGGAATTTGTTCATGAATCATTCTTTTGGTTATTTAGACGTGTGCTTTCCCTTAGCCTATTTAGCCTGACAGATATTTGTGGCATCGGGCATGACTACCTCCCTGAGCTTATGAACGATCTGAAAAAACATAGGAAGAGACAGAAAGTCCTCCTTTTCGCCTCAAAGAAAAAATCTTAATGAGCTGTCAATCGTTCATGCTGACGTTGACATAATGGGTGTCATTTATTTTAGCTAAATCCTATCTATTAAAAATGATATAAATCAATATTTAATCCCTTGGCAGTGCCTGTTTTGCTATAGAAATGTCCTTTTCATGTTAGAAGCCATTTAATTAGGTCACTGCCATGTCACAGCAGACAGATGGTAAAAGCTGTGACATCCATATTAATCTTTAGGTGGCACCCCTGTTTTAGAGTTTTGAGCACATGCAGATATGGCCAGCCTGAAAGGCATCTTAATATGCAGGGTGGGGAAGAGTACGGCAAACCTGACTGCTGGCATACAGTCACTTTTCTGTGTTCTGTTTTGTAATGACATGGTGAATTCCCTAATCCAAGACTTTTAATTAAATCTTAGTGTCGTAATTGAAATTTGATGGATAGCCAGAACTCTCTTTTTTCAGTGTCAAAAAGTACAAATCACCAAGTATGCCTTTACTATAAGAGGCAGTTCATCCACTTTCCTTTTAAGTATTCTTATATTGTACATGTTTTAATTTGGTGTATGTGCAGGACTGGGGGAGTTAGTTAGTTAGTTAGTTACCGTTTTACATTTTATTTTTTTATTTACTTGCACTATTTTTTCTGTGTTTCTGTTTTATTGTGTTGCACTGTTGGAGGAGTCTGTGACCTAAGATTTCCATCGACATAACTACACTGTAGCTATGTACGTATGACAAATAAAAGCCTTGAACTAGTTACATGTAAAAGAGTTAGGGTATTACATAAAAAATGTAATGTAATTTTAATCAGTTACATGGAAAAAATAATACGTATAATATAATAATAATACAATTACAATAACTCAATTAAAGTAGGCCTACACGTATCTCAAAATTGTACTGTATCATGTTTAAGTAAATCTACTTACTTCCCAATGTTGTGGATTCTACAACTCCTCAGACTTCGTGGGCTCTCCGTTTTATAACGATTATGGCCAGCTTTTCCCCTCACAGTGTTGTCCAGGCCATGTTGGTCCGTGTAACCAAATGGTAGCAGACTGTGACACGGTATGTGCTTTAGAAGAACAACGATTGGGGTGTCCAAACTACAAATACGGTCCTCAGCTAATTCAAAAAGTATAATGAAATATGGCCAACAAATGAAACTTGTGCTTGTCATATATTGTACTTCTAAAAATGTATATATAAAAATATATATTATTTATATAGCACCTTTCAACACAAGGCAATTCAAAGTGCTTTACAAAAATGAAAATGGCATTTAAAAACAGTTTATTTTTTCAAGATAATAAAATAAACATTAAAAGACAAAAAAAAAGATTAGACAGTATTCATGTGTTAATAAGCCAATTTTTCAAATACATTTATTAAATTAAAGTTGGAAACATTTTCAAACAAATCATAGTTTACAACAACAACAACAAAAAGCCCAATAACTTAATTACATAACAAGCTTGAAATATAGCCTTCATATTTCCTCTTTTTATAAGCAATCTGAGCTTCTGTTTTAAGGAATGAGCTGCTAACATAATAAATGAAACCCTATGGAGAGCTGGGATGTAGGCTGTAAAGCATTTTCAAGTATCAAACATAGTTGACCTACATTTTAATGATTTTGCTAACTTATAACTTAATTGATAAGGCAATAGACATCCTGTGAGTGGCCCAGCCCTTCGTATATTTTCTGTATGTGGCCCTTGGTGAAAAAAGTTTGGACACCCCTGATCTATGTGAATGATCCAAAACCGGTTTGTAATTTATTACGTTTTATCCTACCCTTTTTTTACCTACACTATTAATTTTCCGCAGACGATCACAGGTTGCTTTCCAAAGATCAAGCAGCTGATTGACGAAAACACATCGGTTATTGTCGGAGTCGCCTGGGAATTGCAGCTCTGGAGGTATGACCCTTTTTTACTTTAAGTTAGACTGAGATGCACCAGAGAGAGCAATACATTATTCATATTCTACTTACTTGCATGTCTAGTATCTATGATGGAGAATGAGGGCCATCGTAGGTAAAGAATAAAACTTCAAAAGAGGACAACCTTGGCTTTTCTTTGAGATGAAAGCGGTTCATTTACATAAGAAAACAACTTGATTATTGTCTGTGATTATATCATAAAGTCAAACTTTTGCAAGACATTTTTTAGAAATTATTTGTCAAATTTTACAATGAAACAAAAATAGCGAAAATGTTGTTAATAAATCAAATTGTGAACAGGGAAAGCCACACGTTTGCGAAGGGATGCGACAGAATGGACATGTGCATATGTGCGTTTTTCCATTGTGTTTCTGATGAAACTTAAAATATCACCTAAACTAAATTAGCATTATGTTTTCTTTTGAAAAAAAATACATTTCCTGCCTAGATGCTTATGGCAATTCTGGTGTGTGTTTCCCCATTTATTGCAAAGTTTAATTTAAATACATCATCCACTGCGGGCATTATATACATCAAGGTGATGTACTTTGCAATTTGAGGCAATGAAGTTCCTTGAAAAACTAACAAAAAACATTGGTGTTCCAATAATTGTTGTTCAGAGTTTTAAAACATTTTTTATTTTATTTTTATAAATGTAGCCCCTCTCCCGCTCCAATATTATTCATATTTTGAACTTGCAAAGACCTCAATACGCCCTCTAATGATCAGATATTACGAACGCATTTCTTATAGCTTAGCTTATAGCTTTCTTTTAACTTTTATGTGTGTGTTTAACTCATATATTGATTCTCCTCAGATATGTGCCATAGCTGTTGCCATGATCCGTTACTGCAGAATAAAATCCAGGGGGAACTAACTGCAAATGGAAAAGGATCGGTCTAATCACTGGAGCATTTACTTCCTTTATCCCCTCTAGAAGAATGAAGGGCTATGATTGTATTTTGCTAAAAATGCCTCGTTATTAAAGATATCAGATATTTTGAAATCAGAACGACTGAATGACATAACAAATCAATTTGTATTACATTTAAATCTATCTAATAGATGCCGCACCTGAATGATCTATTTCCTAAGAACAAAAAAAGCTTCACATACTGCCTACTTTATCAAAAATATTTAAAATATCATCAGTCACTCACTAATGTACCACATGGCCAGGTGATGACAAAGGCTGGCATGCAGAACACAGGAAACACTATTGTAATGTTGTTGCCATGATGCAGCTTGTGAAATAGCAATAGGAGTTATGCATTATTTCTATGTATGTTGTGTGGTGATCAATTTTAAAATAATGTATAAGGTATTTCGTTACCACTTTACAATAAGACTACCCTTATAAAGGGTTTAAGAATAGTTTGTAATTCATTTATTAATTAGGTTGTGAACACTTTATAAATCATTAATATATCTTTTATAAGACATGAGATAAACAGGGCAACTGTGACCGGTTGCTTGCCAAATAGTGAGCCCACATTTATCTGTCCTGCTAAGCCTTATTAGAAATGGTAGTAACTCATTAATACATGGGAATGTGTTTTACACTTTACAACATTTGGCAGTTATAAATGTTAGTAACTCATAAATAAATGGTCATAAAGAGATGCCAAGAAACATCAAGATGGAAGGGGGGGGGGGAATCAACTCAGTGAACAACAGATACCAAGGATGCTGGCTGATGAAGAAAACAAAGTAAGCTAGCCAATAGACTTAGCAGTACAGATAAATGTGGGCTCACTATTTGGCAAGATGACTAAGCCTTGTATTGGCTGCCTATCTTACTTAGTCTTCTTCATCAGCCAGCATCCTTGGTATCTGTTGCTCACTGAGTTGATTCTCGCTAAGTAGCCAATATCAGGCTTAGTCATCTTGCCAAATAGTGAGCCTGTGTTGATGTATTAAAACTATGTTTGGTTTATAAATGGTTCTTAATGATTAATAAAGTGTTTACAACCTAATTAATAACCTAATTATAAACCCTTTATGAATCCTTTATAAGGGCAGATGAGAGAGCATCAGGAGCGAAGGTTCTCAGAAGACCTGGCCGAAAAACACCAGAGCTGGGAAACCAAGGCCAGTTTGATGGAAAC